AGACTGAACATCTTACATGATAATGGAGCTACTGTGTCTTAGCACAGTTTCTTCTAAGAGATATCCTGTCCTCCTGCCCACGATTTCACCAAGACTTTGGTCTGACCTGGGGTGTCTGCTAGTTGATCACAGTCTGAGTTTATGACTTGGAGGATGTGCAGGCATCTAAGTGACTCTTTCATGCAGCCCCAGTTCAAGAGCAGATTGGAAATACTGACGCTTCTGTGTCAGTCTCAGTGCTGCATCCAGCTTTAACGGCAGCCAGCAGAAATGAGACAGATGGCAGAAATTAAGTAGAGCTCTCTGAGGCTTGACCTAGTCTGCTGCGCATGGTAGGACACCATATTGCCTGTCAGCAGAGTATCCACGGAGGGCTCCAAAAACGCATGTGCTGGCTGGGGACTGGTGGATCTCATGTACTGCTGAACTGTGGGCAGCAGGGACTTTTGAATGGTATGGGGGAGCCAAGGTCTCTGGGCTCTGCCTGCAGGGTGTGCACAGACCAGAGCAGGTTCTTCAATCTGAACCTACTCGCAGCTTTATGTGGGGGAAATGAAAACTGGGGCAAGGACTGCAGCCAGAGCCTCCCAGGACTGAGGAGGAGCTTTTGATCCTTAGCAGCTAGACGGATGGTGTTCCTGGCCTGCTGTCCCACCAGTGTGTCAGGAGGTTACATCCAGTAATTCCGGAAACTGAAGTCCTTTTGTATTTAACCTGCTGTTACTAATCACATGTCCAAATGTCTCTTACAGCTGTGGTGCTCTAAGGAGGACTGATTTTTGTAATGACAGAAGGCCCAGGGCTGTCAGCATGGAAGGGACACAGAAGCAGCTGCCAGACTGCAGTGATTCTCACCCATCTGTTGTGCAGATACTACAGGAAACCCCATGGTGCTTAGATAAGTGATAAGTGAGGTCCACACTGCCTCCCTGGCAATGCAGGGTCCTGGTCATGGATCCCTATAGACCCCTGGGATCTGGACATCGCCCTGTACCATTATATGTATTGAGAGCAATCTCTTGTCTTTGAACATGGGTTTGTGACCCCATTGTCCTTTTAATAAATAATGGAAAAGCAACTTCAAAAGAAAAAGTTGGGTCCAGCTTCCCAGCAAGCAAATGATGCCTCTCCCAGCATCCTCCTTGAGCCGTTGCAAGTCCCTGGTAAACCCCTCTCTGTATGAACTTCAAAAGGAGAGAGCTGTCATTTGAGAAAACGATGGACAAAAGCCTAGCATGCTGGGAGTGCAGCCTGACGGTATGCCTATTATCAGCTACTAAGCAAAGTGTGTTTATTTTAGCACAAAGGCACTAGTGACTAAACTTGAAATATTCTGAAATTGGTGCTGAAATGACCTTGAGGTCATCATGAAGGTCCCACAGCTAAACAGATTAGACAGATGTGTTAGGGATGAACAGTACATAAAAGCTCAGACAGGAGAGGAACAAGAAATATTGTAACAATGAGTGAAGACAGTAGTGTTGAAATGCTGAAGAATTTTAGTTGCCTGAATTGTTAGGTGAGAGATTAGATAAATTTAGGGCGAAGTGAAAGTGAAATACGGTCAGGAGCCAGCAGTTTAAGACATGTAGTAAGAGCAATTGTGCCTGAAAGCGGCAAGCCATGCATTAATATTCCTGGGTTTATCAAAAATATCATCTCTGTAGTCATCATGATGCATATTTAAAGTGATGCCTATTTAAAGTAGGCAATGTTCAATACATGATTCCTTATCTGCCACTGAAGTTCTCAATCCTTCCTTTCAGTGAAAGTATGGTAGCATCTCTGTGCTCAAGCAAAACCCACACCAGCCTCTGCAGGCACACAGTCAGAAGTATCACATTTGAGAGTCACTTGTTTAATTTAAGGCGCTGTCCCATGGCAGGGAGTGCCGGGACAGAAGCCGCTGCGGCCCTGCTCTGCACTGTGGGGCAGTCAGTCCCAACGCTGTTTGTTTGCTGGTGTGGCAGCAGCCAGAGCGTGCATTTCCCAGCTCCACTGGGATGGTCCCCAGTGCAGCCTGGGGAAATGAGCTTTTCCTGCGTCTTGCTTTCCCATGCGTATGATGAGATGCTTCCTCACCTCAAAGGGATGTTGGGAGAAGTCCATCCCAATGCGGGCAGGGAGAGGCTGAGAGCAGCAGAGGGAGAAACTGTCTCAGTTTGCATGCATCACTCCTGCAGCGGCTGAAGAGGCACCTGATTACTTGTGGTTTTGGCAAATTTCCTTTTACACTTCTGCCAGGGCCTTAAAGAGAATCATGGAGAGGAGCAAAAAGTAGCCAAAATTACCACCTTTTCCCTAAAGAAAGTAGTTAAATCATCCCCCCTCCTTCCCTCAAAGTGCTGTTGGTGTCAGCACCTCTTCTTCATGGGCCCATGTATCACCAACAGCCAATTTATAAATCCTTTATAAAGTGATTTATTCCTCTGCTGAATGACCTTGCTGCAGAAACCCAGACACAGCGCGCTGGCTGTGGCACCTTCTCTGAAGGTCTGTTGCCATCAATCTTGACCTGCTAATGTCATAGGGTTAAAAATACACCAGGTGCAGAATGGCTGGTAAGTGCTTTTTTTGTCACCATGGAAGAATGACGTGGTGGCAGTGATCCAAACCTCATCGTTTCTGCTGGAACGGCTGCTGCTCATGCACCGGGCAGAGCCTTTGTCCAAAGAAGTGTCTCCTCATTGCATGTCTCCACGCAGATGTATTTCCTCATCACTGCCAGCTTGTCTTCAAGGAGAGACACTGCATACAGGTGGAAAGTTGCTTGGGCCTTTTGCACTAAATGGGCCCACACTACCATGTAATTTAAAATCAAAGTTAAATGGTTTTTGTTTTGTTTTTCATTTTTAGGAGTGCCAAATCCCAATGCTCTATTTAAATCAGCGGGAGATTTTTGGGGGTACTTCTTGCTGCATAGGGCTTCTTGTTAACTTGTTTAGGACCACTGTTGACAAAGGTGCTGCAAATCCCAGGTGTACCCATGCCTTGTCTTCCCCTCCTCAGAAACTGGGACTCTGCAACTTCTGACAAGCATGCTGGGCTTAACTTGGATGGGCAGCCACACAGGAGGGGTTATCATACAAATATGCACTCTGAGTTATGGGCCGCAAAGCTAATGTGTCCAAGATTAGATACTTTTTATTTTGGGCTCTGGGTTCTGTTTTGGTCTTGTCAACCTTGGCAAAGCATCAGGGTGACTGAGAGAAATCAGAGTGGGGTGCCTGCGGGTTTGTCAGGTTTTCTTCCGTGTCCTGTCTGATGTCTGCATTGGTGCAATGATGGGCTGGTGCCCTGGGTCATCTTTGACCGCCAGGTAACGCAGTTGTCCGCAGCAGGGATTCAAGGAGAATGGGGATGACCAGTGTGCCAGGGCGGTGTGCTTCTGGCTCCTACGCCACCCACTAAACACACGGGTGAGCAGTGCCTGCAGCTTAGCCATGGAGCTGCTGCGTGTGCAAACCGGGCTCGTTTCTTGAGAAACATGCTGCCATGTCCTTCACCTGCCTTGATGGCTGAAACCTGGGCAGGGCACTAAGGGCTACTGCTGAAATGTTGGTATGGCTGAATTCACTGGCAAAACTTTAGAACTTTACTGGAGCATCTCAATTTCCCGAGGAGCAGCTGGAGTTGTTTCCCAGCCTGAGAGTGCCCTCTGGTGTACTCAGGAAACAGTAAAGATTGTAGTTTATTGAAGTGGTTTTACTTGACTTGCTCCTTTTCCTAAGGCTTTGCAAGCAGCATGGTTATTTGTTGAAGGCTGCCAAGTAGGTGCATGTCATCCAGCACCAAGATGTGACCTCCAGACCAGTCCTGTGTGTCGTCCACATTTATACACCCAGCAGCTGGCAATCACTTTTTTTAAGGATACTTGCCACGTGCAGCATTTCAAGCAGGAGGCTTCTGGGCACTGGTGTCTCAGTTCCCATTTCCTTCCAGCAATGCCTGTCAGGTCCCTGAAACCAGCCTGCAGCAGGTCCTGCTCTGGCTGTGCCTGGACAGTGCTGCTCCCCCTGCCCAGGGTGCTGTCTCCAGACACACACTTGGGGCTCATTGACCAAGCAGCACAAGCAGAGCTGCTCCAGTGCTGGGCTGCATTTCAAACCCCTGGCTGAATAGGGAGAGCAGGCTGCAAAAAGGTAAAAGCAGCATTTTATTATAAACAAACAAAACCTATCCCTTTTCTCTGGGGTGAAGGCAGGGCATTTAGAAGAAGTGGTGGCAGCATGAGCATGCATTGCCATAGTTACATGGAACTGAAAACAGACGGCGAATGTGAGGCATAAACACAAAAGCTGTAGTAAATATAAATCTTACCCATATGTAGAGTCCCATCTTGGAAAAAACTTTGTCATCTTGTCTCTGTTACGACATTCTAGTTTGAAAAAATAATTCTTTTTTAAATGGTTTCAAACTTTTGTTGGCAGCTGCAGTAACAGATGTGCTGGTAGGGAGCAGAGAAGTGTGTTAAGCACTCTGGTGTTGCACTCTGCTGCAGGCAGAGCAGGTGGTCGGGTATTGCAGCAGCTTATCTGGCAGCTGCTGATTGAAGGCATCTTCTAGAAGAACAGCATGGATGTGACATTTTGAGGAACGGTGTCAAGTATGGATCACTCTGCATGTCCTTTCTTTTTTCCTCCTTGATCCTCTCCTGGGATGTTTTCCAGTGTGAGTCAGAGTACCCTCACATGCTATTGCCAGGTTATTTCATGTAATCTGCCAGGACGTGGTTCCGGCTTGCAAAGCTACCTCCTCCTGCCCAGAGGTTGGTCTGTTGTCTGGATCCAGCAATTGGTGTTCATCAGTGACCACCAGTGGATTTGGAGCTGGGGTTAGTCGGGCTGGAGACTGGGAAGACTAGTGCTGGAGTTGGGTGCTCTTTTCCAGCTGTGCAGTGGCCATGTTCAGATGTCCTTGTTGTTCGTTTCTCAGTTTTTGCTCGCATTTTCTCCCCACTCTCTGCTGACCTTTCTCTTTTCCCTGTGTTTTTTCCTCAGGTCGAAAGCTGAGAGGAAAAGCCTTTTATTTTGTCAATGGCAAGGTCTTCTGTGAAGAAGATTTCCTGGTAAGCTGACCCCCATGCTGTCATGTCTTAGCCTCCCTGGCAGAGACACAGCCTTTCTGCCTGTCACCTTTGCCTGCATTTCACACAGCTGTAGCCCAGCATTCCTGCCAGGCCCTTCTGCTCCACCATTTACCTGGGACCAGCTCCAGCCATGGTGGCTGCCCACATGTGGTGCTGGAAGTAGCCAAGTGAGACGCCATGGTTTTGTGGCCCAGAGCCCCTAGCTGAAGCCATAATCTTTGGCAATGGCTCCTTCAAAGTATGTCTCTGATCATGCTTGGAGGCAGGAGCAAGATGAATGGCTACAGAAGAATGAATGAGTGAATTTTCCTTTCCAATGACCTGGGTTTGCTTGGGCATCTTAATGGCTATCTTCCTGTTGCCCTCAATGGATATTGTGTGAACATACATGAGCATGAAACAACCCCGGGTCCTCTCCTTGTCTGGTGGAGATAGAAAGCCATATACCCTTCTGTCCCTGAGTTCTGATAGATTAAGCCTTCACTGAGACTTGAAAAAGTCATATTTTCCTACTTATTGGGGAAGTCTAGTGATTTCTGTCAGATAGAAGCAAGTTAATCTTCTTTGCTGTCATCTACACAGGCTGAAAATTGAAAGAGTGGTTAGTTAAATGCATCTAAAATATTTCATTTTTCCAGTTTGCATTTCCACCATTCAGTCAGGACTGAATGTGTCTCAGACAGATGATGTGTTGTGCCTGAGATGCATCTCATGGGCATGACAGGCAGTTCCTTACTGGTATATCTCAGCAATAGCAACAAAAAACTTGCTCTGGGCCAGACTTGGTTGCTGTACTAACAGGAAGCTGGAACAATACCACTGACCTGAGAGAAGCTTTAGTAGACCTATAATGATGTAACCAGAGGAAGATTTTGGCTTTCCAAGTCTATATATACAGATATTTTGATATGAATATGTGATAAATACAAGTTTCTGATTTGTAGATTCACATGGTCAAATAAGCATGTAAATGGTATTAATAAATGCCTTATTTGCGTGTGAATTTATGGTATTTACTTATATACTTAATTAAACTTAAATTTAGGACTTGGAAGTTATAGGAACTCTTACTCCTTCTCAACACTGGAAGTCTGATGTCTTCATAGAATATCCTCTGGGGACCCATCCACAGCTTGGTATACTGAAAAAAGCATGGGAAAGTTTAGCTTGTGTAAGGAGTACAGAAGAAGATCACACAAATAACACCCCACAATATGCTGTTGTTTATGCTCGACTAGCCCTGTGAAATTTTAAGCCAATTCTTTTTTGTCCTTGCAGTATTCTGGTTTCCAGCAGTCAGCTGACAGGTGTTTCATTTGTGGTCATTTGATAATGGACATGGTAAGTGATAATTGCTTTAGGAGAAAAAAATCCCACAGCTTTATAGAAGAATACATCAAAAGCCAGATATATTCATATCCAGTACTGTCTGATATCATCTGGTTGTCTGCATAGTGTGAGATTGGTAGCAGAAAGAAAACCCACTAAGCCCTTTGTTGATTTTTGCAAGGAAGTGAAGCTGGCACCCTTCTGTGTGTGGTACCGAGACTTTGCTCTGCCTGTTTTCTGTGCACACTGACAAGCAGAGCCTTCAGCTCTTTCATCCCCTTTCAGGCTTCCTTGGGCAGTCTATTCGCGATCCTGTCAATGTTTCATGCTCAGAAGGGCCGTGGCTCTGCAGTGCTCCCTTGCTGGGGCATCAGTGTGGCTCTGCTGAGCCTCTCTTTCCTGTAGTTAAGCTGTGGCTTCCCGTGTACCCTCAGGAGGAAGCTATTGTCCTATTGTCATTTTATTTGGGTACTGATACTCTGGGGAACAGGTTTGACCCAGAGTATGTGACCCAAACCTCAGTTTAGATCTGCCCAAGTCCTTGCAAACTCTTCAGTAGATGTGTGGATGTCCTGCTGAAGCAAGCAGTTCTCATTAGCCTACATGAGGTACCATCCATTCAAGATGTGCACGGGATGGGTCACAGCTCAGGGCGTCAGCTGGCCTTTAGCCAGCACTGGCCAGCATTCAGTTGTGGGTGATTCAGAGAGACAAATTCATGGTCATATAACTGGTGGTGTAAAACTACAGCTGAGGCAAACAAATTAGGAATTTCTGGGTGGTCAGTTGACAGTACACCTCCCAAGACTTTCTAATGCTTATCATTAATTATCTTTGCTTGCCTGCTTACACTGGAAAGCATTAAAATTGGAAAAGCTATTTTATACTCAGAAGTCTGATCACATGGCTGGTTGACCATGTTATTCCAGGTAGTAATTGCTGCCCCAGAGCCAGCAGGTGAATTGCAGCTGTTCAACACAGTCTCCATAGTTTGTATTAATTAGAAAGCCAGGCTAGTGAGAACAAAGATATTAGATATCAAAGGAATTATGAAAACCTAGCAATAATATTTGTTTCAACCTCTCATGGAGGATATAAAGATGTATATCCTTTTGTTGGCCTGGTACATCTTGCCTTGTCATCCTGCCAAGTATTCTCTACCTTGTTGGCTTCAGAAATTATTTTCTTTCCTTTAAATTCTGTCACTTCTATCCTTTGTAATGCTAAATACCTTGACTGAGATTCTAAATTGTTTTCTTACCTACACTAATAATTCATTTATCTGAAACCAGGTGATATATTGATTCCAGCTGCCCAGTCCATCCCTGTTAACTTATTTTTCAGATGAGTTGCCTGAAAAAAGACACAACCCCGCTGATGAATGTGCAGCACTGTCTGGCGTAAAGCTGTGTGTTTATTATTTTCAACTTTATTGTCTGTTCACATGCATTTTTCCCATGTCTTGCTTTGTTGCAGATCCTGCAGGCTCTAGGGAAATCATACCATCCAGGCTGCTTCCGATGTGTGGTCTGCAACGAGTGTCTGGACGGTGTGCCATTCACTGTAGACTCTGAAAACAAAATCTACTGTGTCAGAGATTACCACAAGTAAGGACAAAATACACAGCAGAGGTGCTCCAATCAACAAGCTTCTAATTTAGCTTTTCAGATAGTTAGGAAGTACAGAGTAGTAAAATAGGGACAAGGTTAGAAGCTAGAAGTTTGAGGGTGTGGCTAGACCTTAGAGACCCAGTGTCTCTCCTCTTGTCCTGCCATTGACTACTGTGTAACTCTGAGGAGGTCACTTAACCCCTGGGCCTCAGCTGCCCCTTCTGCAAAGCAGAGATAGTGAGACTGTGAATGTCTGTGGAAGTCAATATGAATTACTTTTTAAGTAGTTGAAGGACTGTGTTTGACTTTTAAAGGTCTTGCTCAGGTTTTCCTCATTCTTTCTTCCAAATCTCTCAGTAGCAGCCAAGAAAGTTACAATGGGCTTTGGGTTTTTACTGGCACTAAGTATAAAGGCGTAAGGTCTCTTTTTGCCTGATAGAGCAATGTGTGCCAAGCATTACTTATAATCAATGCTAAAATGAATTTATGATCTTGGAATGCAAAGCTTTCCTATGGATAAGTTATTTACAGCTGCAGCTTTTTATCTTATTGCTGAGAACACACAGGCCTCTCTTTTTGTGTTGATCTATAACTTGCCTTCAATTTCTTGTTGCTCTTCCAGAGTTTTAGCTCCAAAGTGCGCAGCATGTGGACTTCCCATCCTTCCCTCTGAGGTGAGAGCCTTTTATTCCATATCCCCTCAGGGGAGGGAGCATCCTGTCTCAGGTCTTGCTCTTTTTCACACTTGACCCTGTATCAAGACGAATGTCCTTGCAGATGAGGAGAGATGTTCACTTCCTCCAGAGTGCAACCTTTTGACCTAAGATCATGTGCTGTTCTTGAGATGTGACCCTTCTTTTGCTTGATAATGGGCCAGGCTGCCATTTGCATCTCTTGCAGGATTATGCTGCTGCTAGTTTTATGTTTGGAGTACCTTTCCTTCATGTCAGTAAATGCTGGTGGCACTCATAAATGACCTCTGTGTGACCCCTCTGGGACTAGACTAAATCGTTTTAATACTTGGAAGAGATTAATCTTGGGCAAAACCAATTTAAAATGCTGAGAGATGTGATAAATTGAAATTACCAAATCATTAATGCGTGATTTGAGATATATGTGACTGTTAAACAGAGAATTTTACATTTCTGGTGTTATATTTTAGAGGATATCTGCAGTAAGTCGATGATGAAGCTTTACTGTAAAAATAACTGCAGGTGGCAGGATTTATTTATGGTGTCCAACCAGCAGCCCAAATGCATTTCCTCAACATTCACATTGTTGCAGGAAGCAATCTACAGAAGTGCATGTGTCTGATCCCACTGTAATCCTTTGTAAATTGTCTTTTGCTTGAATGCTTACAGGGGTCTGATGAGACCATTCGGGTTGTGTCCATGGACAAGGATTACCATGTAGAATGTTATCACTGTGAGGTAGGTCAGCAGCTTTCTCAGGGAGTGGGCACTTAATAATGATAACTACTATTATTTTTAAGAAGGAAATAAATCTCCTCCCTTCCAATGGCAGTAGATGAGCAATTCAAACCTTGCATTGTGTGACCCTTTCTATCAGTGGCTGAGGAATTTCCCGTTTGAGGACAGAAGTTTCTGCAGCAATGTCTCAGCTCTAATTTAATTTCCTATCCATAAAATTACAGGCAAAGAGTTAATTATCACTTTTAAACTTGGAAGTTTATTTGTTAATGAAAGAAAAGTGGTGACTTGGTAAGGTTTATTGCTGCCTTTCAGAAGCCTTGAGCTCCAGATCGCATCAGTGTATCTGATTTCCAAGTCAGATTGTTCAAAAATGTTAAGGTGATGACTGATCCTGTGTGGTATAGGTTACCTTCACTCTCATGGGAAATGAATGTGTCATTGGGGCTGGAGAAGGGATATGACTGCACAAAAAATATCCCAGGAGATGCCAGCTCTTAAACACTGATTGGTCCCAGTGCAGGTCTTCCCAGAGAGCCTTCATACTTCTGCACTGTTAATTAAAATAAATAGATGTCTTCTCTCACTGTACTGATAATGCAGTAAAAAGAGGCCCTGACTCAGCAGGCTGATTTAACATCAGTACAACTGCAATTAATGTCATGTGAAGAGGTGAATCCTATCTGAGAGTGCAAGGAGACGTGATACGAGCATGTTTAAAATACATAGGGTTGCACCTCACCTCAAGATAAAGCTTATGCTTGAAACAAATTTGTACAAGGCGGCCTCTCAAAATGCCTATGTTTGGTGCTTTCCTTCTCATGGCACATATTGGACTTACTAAGAAGGAGCTGTTGGCTGGGTGTCTTCCATCCTGGTCACAAAATCACTTTCCCGGAAGCCAGACCCTGGATGATGAACCCTGGAAGATGAACACATCCTCTAATAATTTGCCCGTTCTGTCTTTGCAGGACTGTGGGATGGAACTCAATGATGAAGATGGGCATCGCTGTTACCCACTAGACGAACATTTGCTTTGTCACTCCTGTCATCTGAAACACATAGAGAACGGCACAACCCCAGCAACTGTGTACCAGCACCACTACTAGCCAGCGTGGCTGACATCGGAAAGCTGGGACAGACGACTTGTTACATGATCTCCCTCTCCCCACACTCAGTTGATTTCCTGTGCATGTTTTTCGCCAGTCGGCAATGTTCCTGTAAAAGGATATGAGAGATTTTTTCTGGATTCCCAGAGTTTGTATGCTTGTGAGTTCCAGCTGTATCAAACCACGTCTACTTGACCAAGAATGTGGCATGTTATGTAAACTGATTGGTTTACTTTTATGTGCCTTTTTCTGCTGTCCGGAGATTCCTCTTGGCTCATTTTGGAAGATTCTTCAGTGAAAGCACAATTTGCTGTCATACCTACGAACTCAGATCATGCCATGCACAATTAAAAAGCCAGAGGCTGGCTTGCCTGTCTGCCGGGCACATCCCGTCAGTCTATTAAGTGTTTCCTGACAAGCACATTTCATCGGATTCCCTGAAGGACATCAGTCTATTAATACCAGTTTTTAGACACTCTCTCTCTCTCTTTATTAATTCTTTAGAAAAAGAAAAGAAAGAGGTCTGTGCAAAATGGTGCACTCAGACCTTTCAGTTAATTCCCCGAACTCTGGTATCAAGTCTGGCTGTAAAAGCACCAGCTCTCCGACCACAAACCAGGCATGCTGGCTGGCAGCCGGAGGCTGATATCCCATTTCAAACAGAACGAAAAACTGGAACAAGCTAGGCTAAACTACCCTGATGACTTGGGGCCTGGGCTTGCGTGTCAGCATGATACGCAGGGGCCAGTCTGCTGTGTCAGAGTCTGAATAGCGGATCATATTTGGAAAGGAAAGGTCGGGATGCTGAAAGTGTGGACATGGGGAAATCCATCCTCATTCTTGCTTGCAGAGCTTGCTGTGGAAAAGAGCTCTCTGTACACAGAAACTCGCCTGAGTTTTCCAGTTTGTCCCCAGAGCTCAACCCCCAGCCTGGCCACTCCTTTCCATGGTGTTTACCCAGCACAAAGCCATTTCATAACGGTGCTTATTTAGAGCTCTGGGAACAAACTTGAGATCGTTATGAAGGCTTTGTTACACAGGGATTTAGAGTCCAGCTCCGCAACCTGTACTCTGATGAGTGTGTTGGTATAAACAGATTTGCTCCCATGAATAATAACAGCTTATCTGAGCAAGGCGTTAGAGAGTTTGGGCCTTACTTTCTGTACTGCTGAGAAAGCAGAAAGGCAATTCGTTTCTCTTTTTGACTCCCCCGCTTTATAGTCAAAGAAATTTGCTTCCCTAATATGCATTACATAGATGATAGGTGTGCCTGCAGTGCATGTTCTGTAGGTACCAAAGCTGTGCAGCCCCTTGTGTACAGGTACAAAGTTTTTGTTTCAAAAAACACTCTTAATTTAAAGCCTCAGATGCAGCTGGGGACCTTAGCTACCCTTTCCAACATACTGTGTGGAAAACTAGTTAAATCCTCATGTATCTATGCTGAAGATGTTGTTTAGTTCTGATTGATAGAGGATGGGATAACATTCTTGAAGATCGTTTTAGTGAAGAAACTACAATAAATTAGCTGAGCAGTGGTGCTGGGACTCCCAAAATGAGCCCTTGCTGAGAACCCACTATGGTTCAACCAAACCTCTTTTCCAGCAGCATGGATGTAGCTAGATAGGTGCTTGAAATTCACACCACGTAGTCAGACTGCCTGGTGTACCCACCCGAAGCAGCACAAGTGCTGCGTAGCAGCAAGCTGCCTGTCTCTGCCCATGCTAATAAATACCACGGGCCTCCATTTTGAGAGGTGCAAGTTGCTGTGCTAAGTATTAAACAGAGGCACAGGCATCTGCCGTAAAACAAATGGAGACCAGTGGCCTGTTAGCACCCTCCTACACATCTGTTACCAGCTTGCCTCAGCTGAAATGGGGGTGTCTGAAACTGCCCAAGCCTCAGGAGTTCGGTGGTTTTGGCAGGGAGTTTCATAAGGCCAACAGACCATCCAGCCTCCTGCCCCATCCAGCTGTAAGCGCCTCCACCTGTTGCTGCTGTTCTTTGGGACGGAGATGGCAGCGCGTGGCTGGAGGGTGGTCCTGTGCTGGAAACCATCCAGAGCTCCAGCTTTGATGGAGCTTGGCTCTGTGGCACATTTCCTGGGGACGTACAGCCCCTGGGTGAGTGACCAAAAGCTCTAGGTGGGGGACTTTCCCGCTGCAGTATGCATGGCTCTGGGGCATATATAATATCTTCAGAGGGTCTTACCTGCGATTTTAGAGGAGGTAAAATTGACCTCAAATGTGTGAACTCCCTAGAGCCTTAAATTCAGCCTCCAAATGCTGGATAGAGAAGGGATGGGAGCCAACATGAAATATAACTGGCACTGTATCCAGGCAGGATGGATTTTGGGCAACAAAACAGCCAGGGCAGATCCTGTGGTGCTCTCACCCTGGTGCATCACATCAGCTTGTGTCCTGCAGCACAGCTAGGCCTGGAGCGGGGTGGGGGGTGGTTTCAAGGTGTGGCATGATCTTTGGACAGTCTGAAGGGACTGAGGTGGGAAATAACACCAGCTGATGTTCCTGTTAAATAATTCAGATAGTCCTGGGTGGGTGGTTTCCCTCCCTGAGCTTCCACTGGCAGCGAAGGCAGTGAGATATCAAAGTAGCTTCTGGAAGTGAGCTGGAAACACCAACCTTGGTTATCTGTTTCTCTGTCTCTGAGAGACCAGCTACTATAAGGCTCATGCTTTTGCTAGCTCTCGATTTTTAGAGCAAGCCCTCATGCATGTTTTCTGGTCTTTATTTTGGAAAGATCTGAAAACACTAGTGGGACTGATACTTTCTTTTTAAGCTGCAGTTTAAACTACAGTCTCAATCTTGCAGCCTTCCCCACAACCCCAAAATAAGCAGGAAAGAAAGAGGGGGAGAAGAACAATTTTCCTTTGTGAAAAGGCTTGAGCAGCCTGTTTGTGGCAAGCTGACTCACAGGAGTCCCCTTTGCGTCACCAGAAAGTTTGGCCTCTGCTCCCACACAGTGTCTTATTACTCTTGTCAGCCATCCTGTATCCCTCAGTGCTGGGGAAATGAAGGCTGCCCTACTTTCAGTTTTGAGGTCCCACATAAATTATTAAGTGCCAGTGCTTTCCTTTCCTGTATGTACGAAGAGCTAGAAATGACAATGTGAAGCTATTGGAGTGTGTGAGTTTGTGGTTTTGAAGCTAAAGCATCTACTGCATTGCCCTGCTCTCCTATGCGTGCTAACTTGCGCTGCTTTTATCTTTGGGAGTTTGAATTAATTTAAGATCATTATTATTTCTCCTAGGCTGTGGGTGTCTTGAGGCCTTGTTGATTGTCCCTGGCTTGTCCCTGTTTCTTTAGCTGCCTGACAAGTGGGTCTGAGGTGGGGAAGGCAAGGGCATCCTGCACAGATAATGAAAAAATGGGCAGGCAGGTAGCTCTGGAGCTTGAGGTGCCAAGCTGTGCATCCTCTGCAGAAGAATTTCAGAAAACATGTTAAATTCTGCCTGTACACATTGGTTTTTGCTGGTCATGTGAATATTGTTGTCTTATTATTTATTAAGATGCTGAAATGTGCTATGAAAAGCTAGTCTTCTGTGCTCTTCTGACTGGTCTTAGGATAGGGGACCCTTGGAAGTCCCATTGTGCTGGTAATGAGTAACTCTAATGCAAATAGTTATTCGAGTGAATTCCCTGAAACTTGCTTTCAGGAACCAGAGCTTAATAGATTTTTTTTTGTTCAGGTCATGCTCTTGAATTTCTATCATTTAGAATACAGAAACTCATTTAAATAGGGACTTTTGCATAAAAGCCGGGGAAATGCCCCAGCTGTAGAAGAAGCAGATATTGTTGTGTAATTTAAAGTGTAAGAAATACCTGTGATCAAAGTGAATTAGGAAACTGCCCTGATGTTAAACATAGGGAACAGCAGTTTCAAACACCGTGGTGAGGAGTATTTGATGAGGTCTGTGGCTTTTCAGCCTCTGAGTTTCATTTGGGGTCTTTCAAAATGTTTTCCCAGTCTTTCAGGGTTTAAATGATTTTTTGTAGATCTTTTTACTACAAAGTGAATACCTCCTTGGTCTGGAAATGGTGGAATTTAATCAGCATCAGGTGTGCTATGGCAGCCTTGAAAGGGGGAAACTGGGCTCATAAGGGCTGGCTGTTTAAATGAAAAGGTTGTCTTTGGCTGCTGAGAGGAAAAAGTAAATATCTTCCTGTGCTTTCTCCTTGTGCTGATTTTTAGCACTGGGCAAATATTTGGCATCCCTGAATTTCAGTATTTGGGTCTGTTGGTAAGCTCTGCTGGGACCTCCACCTCTCTCTCCCGTGAGTTCACAGCTCTGGGGAGAATTGCAGGCGCACACTTCCTAATGAATTTAGTCCTGTTTTGCACTTCCCTGGAGATTCTACCACTTTATTATTTCAGCAACAGCAAAAACGGGTCCTTGCTTAAAGGAAAATTTACACATGCTCTCCATCCTTACTTAAACGCTTTGACCTGATCCTCCAAATTACCTGAATATTATCCTGCTACTGGTCGATGCAGCAGCATCTTTGTACTCTGTGCTGTTGCTAAGAAAATCACGTGAAGGACTCCATCCGCATTGAACTTCCAAGTGTACAGGCTGTCCCACTGAAACCAATAAGGCTGCACATGTACATGAAAATCAATGTGTGTGCGTAGGTCGGTGCTGGATCAAGGGCAGAGTGATTTTATTACAGAAGAGACATACCTAAGGATAAATCAGTGGCAGTGTAAAAGTTGCCTTGAAATGATCACTGCAATGGACTGCCAATTTTTTGTTCAATAAACAAAAATATGTACTAAAGCAATGGGGATGCATGGATGAAGAAGGATGTGACTTAGAAAACACAGTAGCTGTATGGAAAAGGGGGCAGGTGATTACAGAGAGCAGGGGAAAAGGTGGCACAGAGAGGATTTGGTTTTGTTTGTCGTATTCCTGGATATTTATTAGATGAGGTATTGAGGGGTAGCACACCTGTGTATGCTGGTCTGGACCGTGCTTCTCCCATGTTGTCCTTGGCCACATGCTCTGTGTTTGCTTCTGGGTCAGTGTGTGCTGTCGTGTCCGTGCACATGGACATGTGGGGTGTGCTGCCTGTGAGAGACCTGCCTTTCACACCTCCGTGCCAATGCCAAGTATTTGTAAATGCATTTTAAGCAACTTTCTGTGCATGAATGTAAGGACAAGTTGACCCAGGCTTCATTGCTGGCAAAGCATCTCTGGAGTCAGTACCCTGCGGGCAGGGAAGGGCTGTGGCTGGATACACGTCCCTTTTCCCCCATCCTCTGAGGCTCAGTGCCTAGTCACTGGGAGAAGCTGGGAGGGGACTTGCCTCTCTCATCGCACAGCATTTGTGTGTTCATTTTTCTTTTCCATTTCTGTGTTCTGTCGCTCGCTGGCTGCAGTGGCACTAGGTGTAACTTACCGGAGCCAACATCTTCCTGCCATGAGCCCAGAACAAGGAGAAGCAAAATTAAACTTTTCAGAGCAATAAAAGTCCTCACCCTCCTTTCTTCTAGGGCAGCCAGAAGCTTGTGTGGCAGTATGCATCAGTAGCCCCCTAAGACAAGATGAAGGATGGGAAGAAACTGTCCCCATGTGAAAATACATGGCGTAGAGCCTCCGAAGGCACCGACCCTTGTCCCCGCGCAGCAGGTCTGCGGTGCATGGCCAGACAGGGACCCGGGTGCTCACATGCAGGCTGTGGCTTTCTGTATCCAAAAGGCAAACCTAGAGCCTGGTTAACAATACTGAATGGTACTAATTATTTTGTTTATGTTTCCTTCAAAGCTCAACTCCGGGAGAGAGTATTTTAGGATTTGTGCTGGTATAACTAACCTTAGCCACCTGTGAACACAGCCCTCTTCTTCTGTGCTGTTAAATATTTATGAAGAATGAAGGCCAGCAGTGGGAGCAAAGCTGTTGGCCCGTTGTGATTAAAGACAATATTGTAAAGCAATGCTCGGTGTCAAGTTTTTCCTAAAATTACAATGATTATAATTGCCCAGAGTCCATGGGGAGGGAGTTGTGCTGTGAAATTAATGGTTTTCCAGCCTCTGCCTTCCTCCCATCCCCGCACATCAGTGGCTGAAGCAGAGACTGGTGGGGGGAATCTCCTCAGTGTGGTTCACTGAGGATTTCCAGTCCTTTGGCAGCAGCTGGTATTTTCTTCAGCCCCATCTGAAGCCGTCCTGGTCTGGCGTCCCTCCAGGGAGTCCCGTGTCCCAGGGTGAGCAGCTGGGGGAGGGATGTGCTTATGGGCAGGAGCAGGCTCTGGTCCCAGCATGGGGGTGTTCTTTGCAATGCTGGTGGGGCTGGGTTGCTTAGAGAGTTTTGGGGAGAATTCCCGTGTCTCTGGGAGCAAGCAGGTGGCCACATGGTGCCCCCCACAGACTTCACTTCAGTGACTATGATGCCTCCTGTTTGCAGACAGGATGCTGAAGTACTGGCCGAGCAGCACCACAGCAGCACGGAGCTATCAGCAAAAATGAAGCAAATAAATAGGAGGATTACCTGTAATTATACTTTGGAGTTCCCCCTCCTCGAGGCAAGAAGCTGCCCAACACCGGGGGATGATACCCAAGGGCCAGATCCAGTGGGAGATTGACCAGTAAGTTTCTCAGGCCTGCTCCACGCCCAAACCCCATGGCCCGGACAGGGTGCCCAGGTGGCGACCAGCCTGCCCTGCAGCGGCTGTCCCCGAGGTGGTGCCTGTGGTGCGGGGCTGCCAAGGGCATGGGGCTGTAACACTGCCCAACCCCGGGGTGCCTTGGAGGCCGCTGCGCCTGGTGGACCCCCATGCTGGGCCATGAGGGTGGCCGCGTTGGGTCTGTGCAGGAGTGGGGGGCCTGCCTAGGAGCGGAGGGGTACAGGCAGCACCTTAGAGCTTGGAGCCCAGGCGGGAAAAAAGTGAGGTAGGGGAGAGAAAAAAAAAAAAAAAAA